GGTGGCCTCTTTTGCAGTATCAGTGCTGATCAATACCCATCACCCCTGAAACTCAAATAGACTGAGCCAACCATGTCTATTCATGCGATGCTTGTTCCCCAGGTACTGGTTGAAGTGCAAGTGCTGGGAATCACAGTCTCAAGACCGACCCCGCTCCAAGGAGCTCGTGCAGCACGTGGAATACCTGCTTGAGAAGGTGGCGGACTACATACAGCTCGACCAGTTTCAGGAGGCCGTGTATACGGTGCTGGAGCAAGGCTCCCACGACGAGAATCTATGAGAGTTATCGTTCTTGGATACGATGGGATCGCCATACGAGTCGAACTTGATTGAGGAGAAACTGTGCGTGTGCGAAGGTGATTGTGAAAAGCATTGCTAAATGACGTGTAAGCCTGCAGCAGTTGTCGTTCTTGGATAATAACCCATCGCTCTACTTATGATATTATAGCCTCGTTATCGAGATATGTTATCGTGTACAATTATCAATTATAGTAATTGATATACATTATAACTACAAATGACAACTGCAAAGTTGTATTGAGGTCAAGAGGTCACATGCCCGTAAATTAAACTCAGTTAGGAACCCAATGTCGGAAGTGATGCCGTTGACAAGTTTTGTCACTTGAAACTATCCCAGGCCATGTTTAGCACGGCTCTCCACGTGGTTGTACTGCGGGGGTTCACGGAGGAAGAACTGGAAAGGAAAGAGGAAGACAATTTATGAAAATTATTGTTGAGATCAAGTGACGGTAAGATGGACTCTGTAACAGGATCTTAAAACCGTTTTCACACGTTGGAATCACGGGTGCCGTGTGTTGAACGTCGACGACATCGTCTCTGAAGAATTTGAATAACTATCATCTGCTTAACTGATATATATTCAGCCTTATCACTGAGGTTAAAAAGAGATAAAACTCGCATTTTCAATTTCTAAAAGTGCAGTTCATTTGCATCTGGAATGATCCATTTTAAACCTACATTGACTATTACTTGTTATGTATTGTACGGGCATGGTTGAACAACTGGTGTTGTGTTCAGACGTTTCTTTTGGTAGTTTCTTCAATCACCTTCAATCTTGCATTTTTCATTGTTTTAAATAGTCGCTGTCCATTTTTTATTTTTCAGAAACACCGTGTTATGCAACTGTTAATCACATTGTCAACATACTCAGACCTCTTGACGCTTGTTGGCATGTGTTCATGTTTGACACCCCACACTAATTACACCGGGTGTATGTGGTGATGTGTGCGTTATGTAGACTGGACTGTCCGTCATGACCGAAAGGAGTGACCCACTTCTCCAGCTGGCATAGAAGACTGAGTCCTCCACACGTTCATGTCTGTAATCTATGTAACCTACACATGACATGTTACATTTCCGAGTGATTAGTCTGTATGACACAACGGGAGACCACACATAATGTCCATCATTCATCACTGTGTGTAGCAATCTTGTAATAGATGTTGTAATATATTCATTTATCATCCCGACCCAAGAAGATCCGGGGTAGAATAGATCTTTTGCAACTCATGCTTGTCGCAAGAGGGAACTAACAGGATCGGGTGGTCAGGCTCGCTGACTTGGTTGATGCATGTCATCGTATCCCAATTGCGTGGATCGATGTTCATGATGTCAATCACTGGATTGTCTTGCCCATACTCGATTATTTACATACCGCCGTCCTATAGCTGTAATATTGCTGAGTGAGGCGTTTAACAACAAACAAACATTTTTCATCCCAAAATGGCTTCTACAGGATATGTCGTTTCGGTGAAATCAAGCGATAAGACCTAGGCAGTATCACCACATTGAAATTGCATCATAATACTTTGCGGATCATTGTGTGCCCAGATAGATCGTTGATCATGTTATCAACCACTGGTTTCCTGGGCCTGACCTGAAGATGTCCAGGCAGATATGATATTCCTGTGATATTACTGACTGCGGTGTTAAACATTCATCCACTAGCTTACAGATATTCCACCGCCTCCGTGGTCTAGTGGATACAACGTCTGTTCTGAGACCGACTCAATGGTCTAGTGGGTAAAAACAATGTTTGTCCTGAGACCGCCTCAGTAGTCTAGTGGATACAACGTCTGTCCGGATACCGCCTTCTTGGTCTCGTTGATACAACGTCTGTCCGGAGACCGTCTCCGTGGCTTAGTGGATACAACGTCTGTCAGGAGACCGTTCCGTGGTCTAGTGGATACAACGTCTGTCCGAATACCGCCTCCGTGGTCTAGTGGATACAACGTCTATCCGAAGACCGTCTCCGTGGTCTAGTGGATACAACGTCTGTCCGGATACCGCATCCGTGGCTAAGTAGATAGAACGTCTGTCCGGAGACCGTCTCCGTGGTCTAGTGGATACAACGTCTGTCCGAAGACCGCCTCCGTGGTCTAGTTGATAGAACGTCTGTCCAGAGGTAAAAATATTTACCCGTATCTTATTAATGATGACTCAATAGAATCCGACCTCGGCATTGTCGGTCAAGTCCATTTTATGCACAGCTGGATATTCCCTGCATATTCACACAATCATCACGTCGATTGCCTGTACCTTTTCTGTCATTACCGAGTGTTATACGGTACTGTTTATGGCGCTAAAGCTTTCAATTTTTTCTTCATTTTATTCAGTAAGTGACATTATTCCCTTTTAATGAATTCATAAATTTTTCGGTACTGGTTCGAGATATTGTTCTTATAATATTTACTTTTATGTATGATTTATTTACTTGAAATGTATATTTCTTTTTACAATGGACCTTAGTACGCAAACTGTTCTTCTTTGTTATTCTTGTTTATATCATACTTGAATGAAATTGTTTCAACGGTAATCGATTTTTTTTTTTATCCATTTCCTTGTTTGTGAAAATTGCAATTTTTTAAAAAAGATTTAAAAAAATGTGTTTCAGCTTTATGACAAGCACACAGTCTGAAACGAATTTTGCCCCTTTTCGTCGGCGGGGATTGCGAACAAATACGTGTACGTCCCAAGTGTTTTTGTTGAAGATATACCTTCAACGCCAGCAAATAACCAGTCTCGACCTTTCGTCGAAACATAGATCAATGTTTCTGATTTTATGGCAGAAACATCGACCCAGTTCAAGTAAGTATAAAATTTCAGCGCCAGGGAATTACCAGTCCCGACTGGAAGCTGACTAAACTGATGATCAGTTGGCCACAATGTGCCTGCACGGAACTTCATCATGCCATCAACTATTGGCACCAATTAAAGGGAAATGTGATTCGGCAGAGGTATAATTGAGTGAGGCGTAATACCTTGAGCACTACTCTCCGTCCTCGCGAAATATTATACTCTTCAAAAAAGTAGGGGGTCAAGAAATATTTTACAGTTTTGATTTACTTCAAAAGGCGACCATACTTGTCGTAAGAGGCGACTAACGGGATCGGGTGGTCAGGCTCGCTGACTTGGTTGATGCATGTCATTGTGTCCCAATTGCGTGGATCGATGCTCATGATGTCAATCACTGGATTGTCTGGTCCAGACTCGATTACTTTCGGACCGCCGTCAATATCGACCCACCATGTTGATGACTGACCCTGTTCAGGGCGTCTCAGGTCAACGACAAGAGTACAAGATCGATTCATCTGAAACCAGGCTCTTCGAAATCGAGTCCAAACTTGATAGGAGTGGTTCTGGTCGTGTCTGGTGACGTCAAAATGAACGTCAAGTCAACGTCAACTTGAGACTTCATGACAGATTTGTCGGTGGATTGGCTACGGTCATCACTAAGACTGAGCGAACCCCACATCATATTGTGCAAGGAAGTGTCACTGGACAGTACTATCGGGACATACTGACACCCTTTGTTTAATCTGTTTGCAGAGGAGTGGGACAGACTCTCTCAAATCGCCACTGGCACGAATAAATACAGAGGCGTTCTTTCTGATCATTTAGGTCCTTTAATCTTGAACTCAGAGAGAACAAAACGAAGAAATGCACATCCAAACTATCGTAGTATCGACTGGATCCGTGTCTTGATCTACAGTGACAGTCTACAGCAATATATGCATTTACCTTAGTATCTATTGGACACATCTTTACAATCATCTTTCAATGATCGGCCATCAGTGATGAATAACGCTAATTACAGTCACAGGTTCATGAACAACGTCGGAAATCTCTCCCGTTACGTTTGTCGTGTCGGCCATTATGACGTCACATCCTTTGTTATGACGCGCCGTCGTTGTGACTGACTCACTTACTGAGGTAGTTCTTAACAGACCATTCTTATTTAATGAGGATATTATTTGAATACATTTGATGTGAAGAAACTACAAAAGTTTTTCCCGTAGAGCATGTTGAGCATACATACGCTCATGTCACCTCTCGTTTTGAGGAACTATTTTATTCCGCGGTACAGATGGTTGTTGTATGGCTGTCAGTATAAACATGGGGTCACACGTACCAACTATAATTTGTATACATATTGATCTACACCACTTGAGTTAAACAATAGTTAGTGTTATAAAAAAAACATAAGAATTGACTTTCACTTTGTGTGAGTTTATTGGAGTATGAACCTTCATAGTAGTGTTTGTGTGTTTGTTGTTTAACGCCGCACTTAGCAACATTCCAGCTATAGGACGGCGGTCTGTAAATAATTGAGTCGGAACCAAACAATCTACTGATTGACATCATGAGCATCGAGCCATACAATTAGGATACGATGACATGTATCAACAAAGTCAGCGAGCCTGACCACCCGATCCCGTTGGTTGCCTCTTACGACAAGCATAGTCGCCTTTTACGGCAAGCATGAGTTGCTGAAGACCTATTCTACCCCGGATCTTCACAGGTCTCGAACCTTCATAGTGTTAGGGCCAAGGTCCGACGTTCATACAGTTTGGCCCTCACTCTATGAAGGTTTATACTCCAATGAACTCACAAAGTGAAGGTCAATTCTTTAATATAGAGATGCAAGAAAGATTGGTATCACATACTATTTTTTTGACACACAGATGAGTATCATAATATTGGATGTATATCAGTTTTTTTATTCGTATTCTTTGTGTTTGTGTCCTGTGTAATGTGCATACGCTGTGGACATACATGACAAACACACCTTTCTCAGTACGTTCATGCGTGTCTGTTTACAGAAGGGTGTCTGTTTACAGTAGAGTGTCTGTTTACAGTAGCGTATGTTTGTAAACGCTTCAGTCAACGCTTCAGGTGGACTTGTCCACAGAACAAGTCGGGCGTTCGATGAGTATTGAGTGGAATCGATCCGTGTTCGATGTCGGTGAACGTGATCAGTAAGGCAGTGAACACAACGTGAAGACGTGAAGTTCAGTTCAATTTCCAATCAGACGTCTACAGCTCAGCAGAGAAAACCTTGAACCTCTCCGCTATCCCATTTATCCGGATCAACTGATCTGTATCTGTGAACAAGACGAAACGCAATCTTTTCAGAAAGAGCCAATCGTGTATGCATACAGTCAACAAAAAAGGGTGTCATCGACTGATACATAATGGCTTTCAGATCTAAATACATCACGTGACACTAATACATGACACAAAATGACAAGATTAGTTCCATTGCTGTTTAAGTAATTAATACAAGCTTGTAACGTACAGGCAGAGAAGGACTGTAGTTAATTCCCTCTTCCCTAAACGACCCATGTCGACCAGTCCTTGTTTCATCCTCTTAATGCGGAGCGCAAGGAATTGGAGGTTTGATGTGGCCGGGAATGGAATCACAGTATTGTCCGCTCTCTGGGCAGATGCTCTGTTAACTAGACCACAGATGCCGTCCATTATGAAACAGACTTTTTACTTAAACGAAAGTTTCTATACTAGTTCCTATATTCTTCTAGTATGTATATATACCCGTGAAGATCCGGGTTGGAAAAGGTTTCCAACGGTCCCTGATTGTTGTAAGAGGCGACTGACGGTGGCCAGACTCGCTGACTTGGTTCATGCAGGTCATCGTATCCCAAAGTGAGGTGACGTGAAATGGGCTTTAACGTCGCGTCCAAGATTATTGCACTAATATAGTGACGTGCATGCAAGTGCGTGTGGCTGCTTGTACAAGTCCGGACTGATACCGACTTGTGCTAGTGCTAGCTTACTGTGATACCATGCCGCAGTTTAACATGAATACCCTACTCAGACACAGTATACTGATTTCGAGCCGACTGGTCCTTGTTTTAGCCCCTTAATGCCGACAGACAGGGTAACAACAAGTACCATCGTTTAACGTCTCTTGGTATGACGCAGACGGGGATCCACGGAGGCGGTCTCGTATCCCAATTGCCTATGGCGATGCTCATGATAATGGCATTTATTGCCGCAACTCTAAATCTGCCCAGTGAGTGTCGGCCGCGTCTTTAGACCAATGAGGACGAAAACAACTTGTATGTCTCGTCGTTACTACTTAATTACTACTTACTCAGCTATATACTTGTTAGTATTACATAGAATCCAGAGCAGACAATCCTGAGATTAATATTTTGAACAGAGATCCACACCGTCAGGGTACGATGACACGCCTTCAACCAAGTCACAGATTCATTTGGTCGGCTCTTTCAACCAGCCAGTATTGCTGGGGCCCTATTCTAACCTGGAACCCCCACGTGGGTCATCCATACAAACACTGACCTAGAGAGGGCAGCAGAACCCAATCGGGCCGACGTTTCTACAGAAGGTGGAAGGCAGGCACTTGTTATCACAGCTTATTGGGTAGTACCGGGGCAGGTTGAGTCGCTCTGCGACGGTCTTACAATCCATCTCCTTCGCTGCTCTGAGTCCCCACAGGAAGTCCAGAAGGACCATGAACCTCGAGGGTCTGCTGGGGATTCGGGAGAAGAAGGGCGGACCACTGAAGCTGCTCCGTCTACCCAGGAGGACAGGAGGACGAGAGGGAAGGTTGGGACCTGTGGGGTAGTACGCGGCTGTAGGCCGTGCTTGGACCTGATTGGCTGGGGAGTTGAGCAGCTGCCAGTTGATTGGGAGTACCATGTTCCCCTTCAGGGGTGGTATTTGGTTTGGGGTTGTCGGGGTATTTTGTCCCTGTAAGGGCGATCCAGCTGATTGGGGGTACCCGCGCCAATATTGTGGAGGGATGATATACGGAGGTCCAGGGTAGGGCTGATATTGGCTTGGAGGGGGTAATAACGGTGCTGCCCCGGGGGGTAGAAAAGAAGCAGAACCGGGCGGTAGTATTTGTAACGGTTGACCTAAAGATAGGACTGGGTTGGGAGGGGCAGCCCCGGGGTGTAGGTAATGAATGTTTGCCTTTAGGGGAAAGCCTGCAGCAGGGTTTGGTGTGTAGAGGGGTGCGCCGCCTGGGAGCAGATACGGAACCAGTGCCCCTGGAGGAGGCTGGTGCGGTGGTTGTTGACGTGGATGGGGTGCGCCGATACCTGCAGATAGGCGTGCGTTGAATGGAGCGGTAATAACTGGAGCTAGATGGGCATTGACTGACGCGGCACCGTGAGGGAGGGTGGCAGGGTTGGAGTGGGCGAGAGGGAGGAGGGAGCTACTCGGGGCGCCGAGAGCAGGAAGGAGGGACCCGCCCTGGGGAGGAGGGGGAGCTACCCTCTGCGGCTTAGGAGGGGGGTATGGGTCCGGTTGGGGGAGGTAGTCTGGACGCGGAGGGACATCTCCCGTGCCGGGGGATAGGAGACTCACTGCACCTGAAATGGCAGATGACACAGACGCTTCATCCATCAGGCTCCCTGGGATGCAACAACTTTATTTACAGTGTTGAAAACAATATTAATATTTTCAGAGTTATCAAATGATTGGACCTCAAGCTACATGACACGTTTTGTTGTAGTAGCTGATAGTGTATTTTCAGTTCCATATATGACAGAAATTACAAAGCATTTGAGTACTTGAAATTATCAACTATTATCAAAGATAAATGTAAGGACATATAAGGGCATCAATAATTGAAAAGTAATACTAATTAGAATGACATTGGCCATGAAAGGTTATAATAATTATAAAACATAGTTACTGTGACACTGACCCTGAAATGCAATAATACCAACTGTGCCATTGGCTATGAAAAGTAATAATTATACCTGTGACATTAGCCATGAAAAGTAATAATAGTTACTGTGATATTGGCCATGAAAAATGATAATAATTACTATGATATTGGCCACGGAGAGTAATAAGAGTTACTGTGATACTAAAATATACTAATATTTGCCAAGGAAACGTAATAATAATTACTATGATATTGGCCAAGGAAAGGTAATAATAATTACTATGATATTGGCCAAGGAAACGTAATAATAATTACTGTGATATTGGCCATTAAAAGTAATAATAATTACTATGATATTAGCCAAGGAAACGTAATAATAATTACTGTGCTATTGGCAAAGGAAAAGTAAAAATAATTACTGTGATATTAGCCATGAAAAGTCATAATAATTACTGTGATATTGGCCATGAAAAGTAATAATAGTTACTGTGATATTGGCCATGAAAAGTAATAATAGTTACTGTGATATTGGCAAAGGAAAAGTAAAAATAATTACTATGATATTAGCCATGAAAAGTAATAATAGTTACTGTGATATTGGCCATGAAAAGTAATAATAGTTTCTGTGATATTGGCAAAGGAAAAGTAATAATAATTACTATGATATTGGCCATGGAAAGTAATAATAATTACTGTCCTATTGGCCAAGGAAAAGTAAAAATAATTACTAGGATATTGGCCATGGAAAAGTAATAATAATTACTATGATATTGGCCATGGAAAGTAATAATAGTTACTGTGATATTGGCCATGGAAATTATAATAATTACTGTGATATTGGCAAAGGAAAAGTAATAATAATTACTGTGATATTAGCCATGAAAAGTAATAATAATTACAGTGCTATTGGCCAAGGAAAAGTAAAAATAATTACTGTGATATTAGCCATGGAAAGTAATAATAATTACTGTGATATTGGCCATGAAAAGTAATAATAATTACTGTGCTATTGGCCAAGGAAAAGTAAAAATAATTACTGTGATATTAGCCATGGAAAGTAATGAAAATTACTGTGATATTGGCCATGGAAAGTAATAATAGTTACTGTGATACTAAAATACAAAATATGGATGACATAACTTGAAACGGAAATATTTAAAGGTTCTTCAACTCCACATTCGACGAGGAGAGGCATCGAAAGGGTATTATTTAATTACATAAATTCAATGCTATTTAAAGAGGAAGTGGAATAAGCGTCGATACCATTTTCGAAATAAAGAAACTGTATCATGTGTTACGAGGCAGGACCATGATTGATTGATTCTTAAATGCCATACTCACCAACAATCCAACCATATGTTCACCTGATCCCTTAAGTGAGAAGTAGCTTTATTTCAAATTAAAATCGTAGGCTCAATATAGTGCAAACGTAGTGCAAAACTATGTAAAAAGCTGGTATTAACGTTTCAAACTGGCATGTGAAAATCACTTTGAGTCTACCAAAAAAAAACTTTTGTCCGTCATATTAGTCATTTTACCATACTCAAATATATTATTAAACATAAGATAAAGGTCATCCATTTAAACATATCCGATACCGTTCATGGTAACAACATTAACGAATACCTTCCCTTATATTTTACACCTCGTCCATTATAAAAGCAAAACTCCATGTACAAATTGTTTTAAGTCGATGAAAAGTGAAAGGACTGTTAACGTACTTTTGTAACATGGCGGTTGTATTAAATCAACAACGTTCATTAGAATTGTCATATTTCATACCAATGTTAAGCAGCAAACATAGTTAACATTTTTCCGTATAAAATAATTTTCAGGCAAGTGAAATACATTATATGCATCAATACCGGCAGTGGGATTGGCTGACTCCGATAGATCCAACAATAGTCGTCATGAAAACATCATTTTACATATACCGGCTCGCAATTCGGTTTGTCCCGGAATAGCACGAGTCGGTCACGAATGATCTCATCAAAGCCAACATACGTACACTCATATACTACTTTCCGGTAACCTACCTGTAAATATGGTCAGTAAAATGACAACAACCCTCAGTCGAACCATGTTTGCAGTCTCCGTCGGCAAGGCATCTGCAGTAAGATACTTTTTGGGAGGAGACAGACTTATATAACCCGGGTTAAGGGTGGAGACATTCCTGTCAAGTGCGACACCACTACCCCTTGAATGATGAATACCACTCCGCCCCTCTTGTGACGCGATCATTTTTAGGTTCTGTAGCCGTCATGCATAAAGTAATCAGTTTGCAGGGAAGCATTACCTCAGGTTGTTTTTGATGCACCCCTGTGAACTGACGTGAGGTAGGGGAACGGTGAAATGTTGTCACGAAATAGACGGCTTTTTATGAGCGTGTGCATCATCACGCGTGTGTTGTTTTCAAGACTTGTTGTCTGGACAAATTAATTATGGAAAAAACACATCCCAGAAATAACTTGTTTACACGTTTATGATTATCCTTAAAAAATCTTAATAAATCTGTCATAAAATTGGGCTTCGTGCACATATATGTCGCCTTGACAAAAACAGGTTGTCCTTCTAAAATTTTACTTGTAATATGCACATCTGCGTTTAAATGCAGGTCGTATGCCAAAATAACAATAACTTGTACTCAATAGTAGAATAGGTCTTCGGCAACCCATGCTTGCCATTAAAGGCAACTTTGCTTTTGGTAAGAGGCGACTAACGGGATCGGGTGGTCAGGCTCGGTTGATGCATGTCATCGTGTCCCAATTGGTAGATCGATGCTCATGATGTCAATCACTTGATTGTCTGGTCCAGACTCGATTATTTACAGACCGCTGTCATATAGCTGGAATATTGCTGAGTGAGGCGTTAAACAACAAACAAACAATCCAAAAAATAATTGTCCACTGGGCATGTTGGACGTCTTGAAGAAAATGAGTTGTGAAATATACATAAATTTGAATGACTTTTGCTTTCAGAGAAAACAGTTGCTTGTTTTGAAACAGCTTGGATCATTGTGTATTTAAAATGTACTTACGAAAAATGCCGGCGTATGCCAAATGTCCTCGTGTCCATTCATTCATCAAGCGTCCACATTTCATGTCATCATAATTACTTGTCCAACATTCATCTGTCATCACTAAATTATAATATTTTCAGAAAATGTTGTTCAGGGTTATTTTTATTACACAATAAATGTCCGTCAAGGATACCACGTGACAACTGTATATGACATCACGTGTCAGATGTGTGAGTGACCCAGATATCCGGGCGTGTAACACTACACAATGACCAGGCTGTGCACAGCAAAACATAATAATTAACATGCGACCTGCAGCTATACACGTTGTCTGTATTCGTGTGATGCACAATTCATGTCCTGGAGGTCATAAATTATTACTTTGCCTGCGGAGGCACCGCTAGCTAAGTCGTTGATGGCGCCACATTTCACTGTGCAGAGTTGCGTCCCTTAGTCGGACCAGAATCCACTAATCATACATTGAGTATAAGAGTGTTGTCCTATGACGTTCCATGAGGATAATATTTCCAAAAACATGTTTTTCTAAAAAAATATCACAAAGAAACTACTTGATATTGAAAATGGCAAATGAAAAAAGCAACACGCGACCAACAAACATATAATGTATATTTGATTATTACATGTAAAGGGGGGTATTTAGGTTACGTTTCAGCTCTTTAGAATTAGGGGGGGTCAAAACTTTATATTGAAAATGGCAAATGAAAAAAGCAACACGCGACCAACAAACATAGAATGTATATTTGATTATTACATGTAAAGGGGGGTATTTAGGTTACGTTTCAGCTCTTTAGAATTAGGGGGGGTCAAAACTTTATATTGAAAATGGCAAAAGAAAAAAGCAACACGCGACCAACAAACATATAATGTATATTTGATTATAACATGTAAAGGGGGGTATTTAGGTTACGGTTCCCCCCCCCCCCCCCCCCCCCCCCTAGAATTAGGGGGGGTCAAAACAAATACCATAATTAACAAATTATCGTGATGTCAAACACAATCGTCACGTGGTTTCTTTGACGGATATTTATTGTATAATAATAATAATGTGTGAGTTGGGTTTAACGCCGCTTTTAACAGTATTCGAGTTATATCGCGGCGTGTCAGCTTAATGTGGGAGGAAAGCCCGAAGTGATGCAGGTTTCAGACGTTTACCACTTCGTTGAAACCCACGAGCACGGGTATGGTGCTGACAAACCTTGAAACATCATCGGAGCGAACCGGGATTCGAACCCACAATCATAGATTTCTGGCGTGCCCAAGGAACGCAACTCTGCACAGCGAATCGCGGCGCCTTAGACGACTGGGCCACCCGTGCCCCCAGATTATTATGACTGATCATGAGACATGATAAACCGGGGGGAAGACGAAATTATACGTCTCAGCTGATTTTATTAGATATTTAAATTGGGAAATTAACTGCACTGGCCCTTCATTTCAAACACGTGTGGCTGCAAATGTAGCTCTAACCCAGCCTTTCTTGAACCCATTTCTTTTTACACAAAATTACCAAGTCACAATTTGCTTTTTACAAATTGTTGCAAAAATGAGACATCAAATTTAACAGTTACAATTAATTACATAAAAACAAACTCGGTATACTTTCATATGCCAGGTTATTTCAAAACTGTTTCTAAACATCAATCGGATCAAACAGGTAAATATCCAACAGGCACAATGGGTAAACATCAGTCGGGTCAAACGGGTAAACATCAATCTGATCAAACGGGTAAATATCCATAAGGCACAATGGGTAAACATCAGTCGGGTCAAATGGATGAGCATAAATCGGATCAAACGGGTAAATATCCAACAGGCACAATGGGTAAACATCAGTCGGGTCAAACGGGTAAACATCAATCTGATCAAACGGGTTTATATCCAACAGGCAAAATGGGTGAACATCAGTCGGGTCAAACGGGTAAACATCAATCGGATCAAACGGGTAAATGTCCAACAAGCAAAATGTGTAAAAACATCAGTCGGGTCAAACGGGTAAACATCAATCTGATCAAACGGATAAATATCCAACTGTCAGGTAAACATCAATCGGATCAAACGGATAAATATCCAACTGTTGGATATTTATCCGTTTGATCCGATTGATGTTTACCCGTTTGACCGACTGATGTTCACCCATTTTGACTGTAGTCGCTTACATGTGCAATAACATCTGAGTTAAGTAAGAGACCAGTTCAAAAGCTCGATATCAGATAAAATACTTAAGTTTTGAGACATAATTCCCGTCCACCGAGAATAAAAGTGAAATTATTTTTGGATTATGTTCAACATGTGGTTTAACGACTTCAAACTGCAGGACTCCATTGGTTATTTAATGTTCAAAGATCGCAACACTCGAAAGTGCTTGTACTCAATTTTGGTAGTTTGTTTGTTGTTTAACGCCGCACTCAGCAATATTCAAGCTATATGACGGCAGTCTGTAAATAATCGAGTCTCGACCAGACAGTCCAGTGTTTGACATCATGAGCATCGATCCACGCAATTGGGACACGATGATATACATCAAGTCAGCGAGCCTGACCACCCGATCCCGTTAGTCGCCTCTTACCACAAGCATAGTCGCCTCTTACGGCAAGCATGTGAGAATAAAGACCTATTCTACCCCGGATCTACACCAGTCGCTTGGGCACAAGTTATTGTTATTTTGGCATACGACCTGCATTTAAACGCAGATGTACATAATACAAGTATAACTCAGAAGTACAACGTGTTTTTGCCATGGCAACATATATGTGCACGGAGCCTAATTTTATTACAGATTTGTTAAGATTTTTTAAGGATAATCATAAACGTGTAAACAAGCGGCTTAAAATTGGTATGAAATATGACAATTCTAATGAACGTGGTTGATTTAATACAGCCGCCATGTTAACAGTGCTTTCATGTTTCAACGACTTAAAACCGTTTGTATATGGAGTTTTGCTTTTGTAAAGGACGAGGTGTAAAATATAAGGGAAAGTTTTTACGATGAACGGTATCAATCATTAAATGGATGACCTTTATCTTAAATGTTTAATAATATGATAAAGTATGGAAAAATGACTAATATTATGGACAAAAGGGTTAATCTTCACACTGGTAGACTCAAACTGATTTTCACATGCCAGTTTAAAACGCTAAAACCATTTTTTACATAATTTTGCACTACATTGAGCCTACGATTTTAATTTGAAAAAAAGCTACTTCTCACTTAAGGGATCAGGGGATCCTATGGCTGGATTGTTGGTGAGTGTGGCATTTAAGAACAAGCAATCAATCAATCATGTCCAGTCTGGTAACACATGATACAGTTTCTTAATTTCGAAAATGGTGTTGACGCTTATTCCACTTCCTCTATAAATAGCATTGTACCAATTTACTTTTTGAAGACTCTCCTCGTCGAATGTGGAGTCGAAGAACTTTTAAATTTCCGTTTCAAGTTATGTCTTGCATGTTTTGTATTTTAGTATCGCAGTAACTATTATTACTTTCCATGGCCAATATCTTAGTAATAATTACTACTTTCAATGGCCAATATCACAGAAATTATTGCTACTTTTCCTTGGCCAATATCCTAGTAATTATTGCTACTTTTCCTTGACATACATCACAGTAATTATTGTTACTTTTCCTTGGCCAATATCCTAGTAATTATTATTACTTTTCCTTGGCCAATATCACGGTAATTATTATTACCTTTCCATGGCCAATATCACAGTAATTATTATTACTTTTCCTAGGCTAATATCCTAGTAATTATTGCTACTTTTCCTTGGCCAATATCCTAGTAATTATTACTACTTTTCCTTGGCCAATATCCTAGTAATTATTGCTACTTTTCCTTGGCCAATATCACAGTAATTATTATTACTTTTCCTTGGCCAATATCCCAGTAATTATTATTACTTTTCCTTGGCCATTTCACGGTAATTATTATTACGTTTCCTTGGTAAATCACAAGGGAAAACTCCAATATATGCAAAAAAAATTGTTTGATAGGCATTACTTAGAAGTTGGCGGATGACAAGATAGACACAATTTTATGGATAACAACTTCTTTAATACTGTAAAAAGCGACGTTTCGGTATAGATCCTTATACCGTTGTCAAGATAGACTGAATGGGGGACATAGTGCAGAATATATATAGCAAGTGGAGGATTATCTCACTCATGTATGCCCTTGTTGTTACTGTTAATCCTCTACTGTTAATCCTCCACT